TCCTGGAAGGGAGGAATCCAAAAGGCTGTGACCCACTCAGGGCACAGGAGGAAGGGGTTCGTCCGGATCCCGGGGAAGGGGAGAGGCTCGTTGGGCGGGTTAGGGAGGGACTCGGCGCCTGGCCCGCACCTGGCAGCGACTGACGATGTCGGCGTCCGTGGCCAGCAGGTCCACCACCTTGCCTTTGCCCTCGTCCCCCCACTGCGCGCCCAGCACCACGGTCACGCGGGAGCCTGTCGCCGCCGCCTCCTGCTGCAGCCGCCCCCTCTTGACTCCGCCCGTGCCTGGGGGCCGGTCGTTGGAGGCTCGGGTCCCGGACATGCTAGCTTAGCTCCTCCGCTGCTCTGGGCCAAGCGAGAGCCCGCCGCCGCCAGAGCTCTCGCTCCATTAAATGCGGACGCCTAGAGAGGGGGGCGGGCCGGGGGCGGGTCCTGCGCACGCGGTGACGCACCTCGGTGACCTGTGGCCACAGCTCCCGGTCCTTGCCGCTGTCGCTGCAGGTGGCGGGCACTTAGGGTGCAGACGCCCCGACACGACTTGGGCAAGCAGATGACTCAGAGCACCCGAGGACGTGAGAGGTGCCAGTGCTGCACGACCCGGACTCTAACCCCGCTCACTGGCCTGCTAGGGCTTGAGGTTGCAGAAACTGCGGAGATGGCTGATTTTTTTTTTTTTTTTTTTTTTTTTTTTTTTTTTTTTTGGTGGCAAGAGAGTGGTTAGCCAAAGGGGGAAAAAAAAACACAAAAAACACAAATGTTTCATTGCCGCTAACGTGGAGGATCTGCCTGCGGGATCGTCTACTTTCCAGTTGTGAACTTCGAGACCAGGATTGGGAGCCGTTCTCCTGAGAGTCGCCCAGAAAGTCACCTTAATTGAGGATGACCTCTCTCTACCAGACCACATAATCTCCCCTGCTGGCCCAGGACATGCAGCTCTCGTGGGTGGCTGTAGCTAGCTACTAGACCCCAGCGCCAAGTGTAAGATGAAGTCCCCCAGCTACTCCGGGCCAGAGCAACTTGAGGGACACAGGAGCAGAGCAGGATTCAAGTTTCCAAGGGACCCACATCAGACCTCAGGCGCAATGGCCACTCCTGGGCTCCCCACTGGGTACACTGCTTTGCCACTCCTGGGCTTCCACTGGGTGCACTGCTTTGCCCTGCTCTTGATCACTCCTGAGGGGTAGATGATTATGTCAGTCAGTCCAGGCTGCAAACAGAGACAAAGGAAGGCCCTGGGTCTGGGAAGCCTGTGTGGCATGCCCCCCCACATTGGGGGGATATCCTTCCAGAGTGTGCTGACTGACCCCTGGACAGGTTCACAGAGCAGTCAGGCTCCTTGTCCTGGGGGCAGATCCCAGGCCCGTCACAAGACCGGTGAGACTGCACATACCCTCTGGGGGCCCGACCCCCACCATCCAGCTTGGGGAAGAAAGGCTGTTCCCAGCCAGCCTCAGCCACACTGCTGCTACCTCCCTGGCTGTGCAGGTCACTCAGTGTCACAGTGGGGAGTAGTAGTGGGATCTAGAGTTAGTGGCTCAGGCCAATATCTCCGCGAGCAGTGGCTGAGGCAGGCAGAAATACCTGACGAGGTCTTTCAGGAAGGTGTGCCCAGAAGGTAAAGCAGGCAGAGAAGGCTGATGCAGGAATGGAGACCCGGAGGGTTGGGGTGGGGTGGGGGGTGGGGATGAACAGGAGAAGGAGGAGGAAGGGTATGGGGTACAGCGGCTTCTGTGGACTGAGGGAAGCTGGCAGACTGTTACACGGGTTAATGAACTTTTTCTCCAGGTGAGAAAGATTCTGCTTTAAGAATACACTCGTTGGCCGGGCAATGGTGGCACACGCCTTTAATCCCAGCACTTGGGAAGCAGAGGCAGGCGGATTTCTGAGTTCAAGGCTAGCCTGGTCTACAGAGTGAGTTCCAGGACAGCCAGGGCTATACAAAGAAACTATGTCTCAAAAAACAACAAAACAAAACAAAAAAGAATGCCCTCGTTGAATGTCACTTCGGTCACCTTAATGCTTGCCCTTGTTTCCCTGGGAGGTGTTGCTGCAAGCCTGAAAGGAATCCTGGCTCCCTTTCCTGGGGGAACCCTGGGGTTCTGGGTAAGAGGCATGAGTTAGGGTCCAGAGAGACCTACTATGGGGGCTTAGATGGGTCCTGGGCACTAAGCCCGAGACTATAAATAGCAAAGGGCCCAGATAGAAAGGGGAAGGCTCTTCTAAAAACAGTTTCCCTCAGGCTCAACAGCTGGGGCCCTGCCAGTCACAAGGCTCAGCCGGAATTAGCAGCCCCACCCCCTCAGTGAGCTCAGTCCAGGATGGTGGGCAGGGTAGCAGCCACTAAGTTTGGGGGGAGGGATTCTGGCTTTGTAGCTGTGTGACCTGTGTGACAGGTGGCTTCAGCTAAGCTCTGCATAGGCTTTGGGGGAGGGCGTGCGGGCGTGGCACCACCCATGGTTCCCTCTGGGTTATCAAGAGACCATGCCACACAGACACCTACAGACAATACACCATGAACTGGCACCCAGGAACCTGTGCAAGGTTCTAGGTGCTTCATAGCTGCCAATGGGCTGACTTCTCCCTGGTCTCTTAGCCACTGGGCTGACTTCCAGAAAGCAGAGAAGAAGAAGGCTGGGGAGACTGTGCTCTCTGTCCTCAGGCGGGTGAAGTGCTGGCCTCGTAGGTTTGACTGATGGGGTAGGCCTTCTACCCAGGAGCAGACTGTTCCTAACTCAGTTTTACTCTGGGAACTCCAGAGTGAGAAGACAGAGCTAAGCTGTTTAGAAGCGGTTAGCCCGAGGAGCTGGCAAGACTGGATAGGAAAGGCACTTGCCAACCATTCCCTGGATCCACAGAGTTAATAAAAGTTAGATATCCCTGGTGGGAATAAGGCAGCAGCGTTGGGAAAGTCTTTTACAAAGTTAAAGTTACGCTCAGCCTGCAGCCCAGGTTAGGCGCGCGTACAGCAGAGAGGTAACCAGTTCACACCAGGCCTACCATGCACATCCTGCCCCTGGCACTGTTCACAATACCCTCACACGGAATCCCCCACACAGAGGCTGCCGAATGGGGGGGGGGGAAGGAATACAACCCAGACGGTTACAGAATGTGACTCAGTCACAAGGTGTGAAGTGCTGCCCCACAAATCTCAAGAACAATTGGAAGGAGCCAGCCACTGAAGGAAACGTGTTCAATATCTCTATTTATATGACACGCTTGGAACGGGCAAATCCAAAGAAAGCCAGATGGTAGGGCCGGGGCCGGAACAGTAGATGCTTGCGAGTGTGAAGGAATTCTTGGGTAATGGAAAACTTTGATCATGAATTTGAATAAAAAAAAAAAGCTTTATGTGTATGCAACAACATGTGCATGCCTGTTGCCCACAGAAGTCAGAAGAGGACACCAGGTTCCTTAGGACTGGAGTTATAGATGGCTGGTATCTGCCATGTGGATGCTGGGAACACAGCCTGGGTCCTCTGCAAGAGCAACCAGTGTGCTGAACTGCTGAGCCAGCTCTTTAGCCATTTTGATCATAGTTGCTGACACCACACGGCCTTTCGATTGGCAGAAAAGGTTTGCAGTGTGTGAGGTGAGGTTTGCAGAATGCGAAATTAGCCATCACGACATGGCAGTGGGGAGCTGTTTGCCACTTGCTCCTTTCTGGTCTTAGTTCCCATCTCCTTCCACCACCACCTCCCTGGAGCTTGAGAACCTTCAGCAGATGCTTGGGGAGTGGCTGAGTCTATGTTTACACACAGAAAGAAAGCTGCAGCTGACTCTCACGGGCTTAGAGAGCCAGCACTGATCCTAGATTCAGGAGTGACTGGATGTACTGGTTGGTTTTATCTGTCAACTTGACACAAGCTAGAGTTATTACAGAGAAATGAGCCTCCCTTGAGGAAATGCCTCCATGAGATCCAGCTGTAAGACATTTTCTTAATTAGTGATCAAGGGTGGGAGGGCCCATTGTGGGTGGTGCCATCCCTGGGCTCCTAGTCCTGGGTTCTATAAGAAAGCAGGCTGAGCAAGCCAGAGGAAGCAAGCTAGTAAGTAACATCCCTCCATGGCCTCTGCATCAGCTCCTGTTTCCTGACCTGCTTGAGTTCCAGTCCTGACTTCCTTTGACGATGAACAGCAATGTGGAAGTGTAAGCTGAATAAATCCTTTCCCCCCAAACTTACTTCCTGGTCTGTTTGTGCAGAAATAGAAACCCTAAGACACTGGACTTTCTGCGAGTCTGGGGACAGGGTCCCTGGATAGTATTTAGGGACACTGCCCTGGCTGCTGGTTGAGGGGCAGACAGACAGCAGCTTCCAGATGGCAGGGTCAGGCCAGCAGGTACCTGAGCACAGGTGATGACATGAGCCCCAACATGGCCTCCCTGCCCTAGGCCTCTACTTCCTTCTTGGGCTGGGATCCCTGTCAGGAGCCTGGGGCATAGGACACTCCTGCCTTTACCAAGGGCCTCTGGGGAACATGGCCTGCACCTGCCCACTGTTGCCCAAAGGACATTACCTGGATTCGGGCCTTACACCCACATAGCCTGGATATCCACGAGGGTGTTTGAAAGCTCCTATTTGATACTGCTGCACCCCATCCGGCTCACCACCCCGTTCACCCTCTTCCAGTGGAAAGCGACAGTCTGCTGAAGAAGACCGTCAGTACATGTCCCCGCACCTCATCCTATGCTGGGGGAGTGCATCTGCAGACCCAAGAGACCACTAAGGCTGGGCAGCAGCATGTATGCATGCATGGGCCCAGGTCCCACTCTTGGGGCTTCCTCTTCTGCTCCTTTTCCACCTCTAGGAGAGTAGCAGTCCTTGGCCATTGAGGTCACCATCCCTTCCATGGCTCACCCATCCATCTTCCCACCATGCCTTTCTCCCACTCACTTCCCTCCACTAAACCCCATCACCCCAGTGCCACAGGGGAAGGGAAGAGAAGCCAGCTCTCTCTCTCCCAATGTTACTACTCATTCCAATGGTCTAAATACCACACTCATGACAGATAAGGTTGCTCTTTATTGGTTAAAACCCCTGCTGGCCTGCAGACTCAAGAGTGCACCCCTGAGAGGGCCTGAGCAGGGGCAGCTTGTTCCCCACTGGGCAGACACTGAGGGAGATAACCACCCATTGTACAGATGAACTTTTGTTTGTTTGTTTGTTTGTTCCATAGGGCCTACCTGCCAGGTCCTACCCAGAGCACTTCCAAGGAGCATTCCCCGCAGGCTCTCACTAACCCCAACTTCAGCCACAGCAGAATGAAGATGCAGAAGAGTACTCGGCTAAAAATCAACTGAGTCAGGGCAGATGGGGGATGTTTCAGCACATTACGGGTGTCTGTACCTGTCTTCTTCCTAGAGCCAGACAGGAGGCTCCCTTCCACCCCTGTGGTGCATGCGATACGGGGTGGGCAGCAGCTTGCAAAAGCAGATGGCGAGGCTATGAGCGTGCAGGGGGTCCGGGGTGACGCCAGGCCAGGTCCTAGCATCAGTGGCCAAGGTTCCCAAGGATCCTGGCTGGGTAAGGCACGGAGTTTGGGTTTCTCAGGGGCCCAGTCCCAGCCTGGCCTGAAGAGCCTCTCCGGGCAGCACATGCAGCAGCTGCCGATGTGCTGAGCCGATGAGGTCACTCACTTGGCTTTGGGCCTGGACCTGAGGCCTGTGGGGAAGGAAATGGTAATGTTAGGAGCGGCCTTTCTCAGGAAGCTCTAGGTGCCCAATAAAGGGTCTCAATGTCATGGCCAAGGCTCTGAAGTGTATCCAGGTCCACTCCAGTAGGAGATTCTTCCCAAGGGATGGAGCTAAGTTGATATCCGCAGACTGCTGTTTTGGAGGCTGTCACAACCAGGTGTGGTGCCTGTCTGGACTGTCTTCAGTGGGCTCCAAACGGCCTACTTTTCACAGACCCATACCTATTGTCTGCTCTCACCGAGCCTCACTAGGTCCTTTGAGCGCAACTTGGTCTTTCCTGCTTTCTATCTGGCTGGGTACTGACCAGGGAGGGCCCTGGGCTGGCAGTCACACACTGAAATTGACACCAACCCCAGCCTGTAGGAAACCCTGTTCCCTACATCCTCTGAGCTGCCCAAAAAGCCTGCTTTCTCACCAGTGGTGGGTGGGGTTCCAGGCTCTCCCTTGGAAGCTTGAGTTTGAGAATTTGCCCAGAAGACAAAGAGAAAAGGAGAGGAGCATTGGCTAGCTGTCAAAGCTTCGCCTGGAGTATTATTAAGGCATCTGTAGGGAGTGGGGAAATGAACCAACCAAGGCAGGGGTGTAGCAGGTCTGGGTTAGCTACAACAGGGGTGCTCGGCATAGAGACACTGCCGATCCAGGGACACAGGAGCTGGTCTCCATCGAAATGCATTGCCCAGTGGGGCAGTCCTGACTGCAGGGTCAACATCACTGGAAAATGAGGGAAGACTACTATGCAGGCTGGGCCTGGGGCTCCCTGGGGCTCCTGCCTACAAGGCACCAACAGACCTCATCCTTGTACTTCAATCCTGAGACTTCAGCCTGGTGGCCAGCAGTTCAGAGTACCAGGTAGGCAGGCCCAGGGTCCCTGTGCCGGGCCAGAGGTTTTGGGGTTTGTTCAGGCTCCCACAGTTCATGATGGGGCCAGACTTTTTTGTCCTAGCCAGGCCTTCCTCCATCCATGATGCCTGGCCATGGAACAGGGCCCCAATCTGGTCCAATACATCTTTAATGTCTCGGGCCATGAATTGGCTCTGTCTGTCCTGCCATGAGGCAGGCCCAGAAGCCTCACTATGGCATATAAGAGGAAGACCGGTGTGACTGTATATGCTTGGCCTAGGGAGTGGCACTATTAGGAGGTGTGGCCTTGTTGGAGTGAGTGTGTCACTGTGGCTATGGGCTTTAAGACCCTTATCCTAGCTGACTGGAAGTTAGTCTCCTCATAGTAGCCTTCAGAAAAAGATGTAGAACTGGCAGCTCTGCCTGCACCATGCCTGCCTGGATGCTGCCATGTTCCCGCCTTGATGATAATGGACTGAACCTCTGAACCTGTAAGCCAGCCCCAATTAAATGTTGTCCTTATAAGATTTGCCTTGGTCATGGTGTCTGTTCACAGCAGTAAAACCCTAACTAAGACAACCTGGAATTTAAACGGATCCAACTCTGTGCCTGGCTACAGGGAGGGAAGGCCCCTGCATCTTTGCCTCTGGCAGCATGTGCACTCAACACAGTCATTTCCATAGAATCTTTTCAGACATGTGCTTGACCATAACCTGGACCACAGGCGAGCTGGAGTAGTGTTAGAGGATTGGGCCCGTGCAGACGGAAGGTGTTTCCTGACGAGCGGATTAGTAAAGCCGCAGTTAACTTGACCATGGGTAGGACTGAGACACAGATAGGAACAACCTCAGTCTGTCCTGCAGGACTAAGAAGCAGCCATCCTCAGAGAGCCCACACTGTGACCACAACCCTAGAAGGAGCCCAGCTTGGCTCTATCTACCATGCCTTGGAAGCCCATCTGGAGTTCAGCTCTTAAGTTGTCTCCGGCTGAGAGAGAGAGAGAAGACACTGGGCAGGCAAGGCTTGGCAGCTGGGCCTTCTCTAACAAGGCAGCAGAGCAAAGGGACCACCACCACGAGCCAAGTGAGGGGTTTGCTGGTATACCGAGAGAGCTGGAGACAAGCTAGGTTAGTACTCAGGAGGACCAGGCGGCAGGCTGAGGCCCCGGAACCCGCTGTTGTCATTGGTTAACACAAGCCAGGCTGTATACATACCTCACTGGATCACACACAGCCTTTTTCCCTTAATATCATCAGAATCAGGGGCAAACTCTGCTTTCAAATAAAGGAAACACACCCATCAGCTTAGCACACGGGGCAGCCCTGAACTTAGGGTGATGGGATCTGTGGGGGCCAGGCTAGCCATGCCAACACTCTTGGTCAGGGTTAGAAACTAACTACCAGAACGAAGCCAACTCTTTGGTCATGGTGACAAAAGAGGCTGCAATCGGGAACTTAATATGTCAGACCACTCTGCAGGAGCAAGAGCCAAGGGCTAGCCTGCTCTACTCCCTGCGGAAGGGGTGTGGGGGCAGGAATTTGCAGGTGAGTGATGCAGGCAGTGGCCCCCAAAGCAACCCTCTTGTGTGAAGTGCTGTGCCCCATTCAATCACCCTCTCTCCTGGATGCTGGTTGAGCCTGTAGTACCCACAGGGGTAAGGGAGGGACCAGCAGGATAGCCGGGAGAGGTCCCAGGCCCTGTTGTATGACAACCGGCTTTAACACATGTCCAGACCCAGCTGTCCCCCAGCTCTGCTCACCAACGCCCACCTCCCAGTTACCTTCTTGGATCCTTGAGGGACGTTTCTTCCTCCGCTTGCTCGTCCCCTTTGAGACCCGGCCTTGGACCCTGGGGAGGGTACCAGACCCTGAGGAATCTGTCACTGCATCTTCAGAGAAGGACCTGTCCAGGGACGTGTCAAGTGCAGATTCTGGAGCTGTGTCTTCTTCATCCTCATCCTCTCCAGGGCCTGTGCGGGGGAGGTGGGCGCTCTGTCCTCGCTCAGCCGCGTCCTCTGGTCCCTCACTGGTGCTGTCGGCCTTGGCTCGGTGGACGCCCCACGAGGCTTCAGCGTCTGTAGCGTCCTGGTGTGACCTCTCGACTCCGGGAGGCTTATTGGTAGAGAACTCGAGGGGCTTCAGAGCTTGAGCATCTCCCAGAGTCACCGGCCACACTCCCTCAGAGGGCTGGGCATTCGGGGTATCTTCAGGGGCCAGGAAGTCGATGGCATCCACATACCAAGAGGACCGCCTCTCCAGGGCTGGAGGACCATCTTCCTCCTTGGATGGCTGGGGGCTGGGGGTTACAGCGTCCACAAGGTCCCAGCCCTGTGGCTCGCCAGCTGCTGTGGTGTCCTGGCTTGACTCTGAGGCAGGGTGGTTTGTGCCCTGGGTAGGATTGCTGGCACTTGCTGTGGAGAGAGGGATATGTCCATGAGGGTAAGGACCAGGGTTTTAGGCATTCTGGTCTCACCCCGGAAGTGTTCCTGAGCCTGAACTTCCTAAACTACTGTAAACTTCAGTCTTATGAGCTCCCCAACATGGTTTCTTTCCCTTTTTTTTTTTTTTTTTTGGTTTTTCGAGACAGGGTTTCTCTGTGTAGCCCTGGCTGTCCTGGAACTCACTCTGTAGACCAGGTTGGCCTCAAACTCAGAAATCCGCCTGTCTCTGCCTCCCAAGTGCTGGGATTAAAGGCGTGCGCCACTACCACCCGGTCCAACATGGTTTCTTACGGGCCAAGGGAAGGCAGCATCTTCAGTCTGGTCATACATGGAGGACAGGAGGATAACCCAATGGGCTACAAAAACCATCCATTTCCAAAGTCCCAGTAGTGAAGCCCTTCCAAAGGTTTGCCTGTCTTAACATCTCAGGTGCCTTGAACTCAGGGGTGTCGGCAGTGGGCCATCGACCCCCACATCCCCTGGCCACCCAAAGGTGACAATGTTTAGGAAAGACACAGTCCTCTCACAGGCCATTTTCAGAGCTGTACCAATTGGGTCTTCACTATCCTACTCCCAACCACCAAGCATCTCCAGAGCATTGTGTGTAGGGGGTCCCCAAAGATCCTCAGGTCCCAGAAGGCTTCCTGGAGTCAGGCACAGGTGTGGGGAGAAGGTCACAGGCTCAGGTCTCACCAGGATCTGTGGCCTTTGGAGGATCTGCTGTGGCCACTCTGCCACCTGCTTCAGTGTCTCCCCGGCCCCGGGCTGTCTTCCGTAGCTGGAAGCCCTTCCTGATGTCTGCCAGCAGGGCATCGATAACACACACTTCTTCTTGCTTCCCGGGACCCTTCCTGACTGCAGAGCAGAGGCACAGACCTTAGAGAGCAGCCCAGAGATCCGGAGGCCACCCGTGGGACCCCTTGGAGAGCTAGAGACACCCTGCAAGGTTTGGGAAAGGAAGGCAAGCAGCCCCATCGGGGACCCGAGACTCGCAACTGTTCCCACCTGCCCCGGAGACCCACCAGGCTTCCCGTCCTCGCCCTTCGGCCTCCGTGCCTCCTCCTCCGCCAGCTGCCGTTTTCTCCTTTCTGCTTTTGCCATCTGTTCCTTCCGGTCCTTGTTCTCCTGTTCAGACAGACAGGAGCCTTGTCACCCGACCTAGTGACCCTCAGTGGGTATACCAAGGACAGACAGAGTGGAGCTCAGGGCTGTACCTAGCCACAGCTGGGAACAAAGGGGCAAATTCTGCCTGGCTTGGCTGGGAACCCCACTTTGGTCTCAGGCATCACCGAACTCCCCCTGGTCCACCACACCTTCAGGGAATGGGTGACCACCACACCTTCAGGGCACGGGTGAAGAGGTCTCGGAAGGTCTTCATGGTGGTGAACGTGTCCTCTAGGGACAGCTGCTGGGGATCTTCACACAGGTAGTCAGCCAGCTCCAGCTTCTTTTGCTCAATGGCATCAAACACCTTGTCCAGCGCCCGAGAGGCCTCAATGCTGACCTGAGGACATAAACTCAGTCACTAACAAGTGAGTAAGAGGATGCTTGGTGAGGCCTCAGGCACAGGACCCTTGGGCAGAGGTCTGTTAAAACAGGGTCTGTGGCACACTGGGTGTACCTGGGAGCCTCAGCATAGGGCCAGGGAGCCCACAGAGGAGCCAGAGTAGCTGCCCTGCTGATACAGGTTCTTGTCCGCTTGGCCTGTGTTCACCAGCAGGGCTGCTCACCCACCCACTCGTTCCACACATCCCTGGACATCCCAGGATCTGCTCTCCCTCACGGAATGTACCAGGAGCAAACTCTTCTGTCAGCCACAGGACTCCCATGGCCCAGCTTACCTGGAGGCGCTCAGCATACTGCTTCTGCACCTCGGGGATTGAAGCGGACACCTTCCTCTCCGTTTCTAGAAGCTTCTTCAGGTTGGCACTGGCCTCTGAGTGGATGATCTCCAAGTTGATTCTGCAAGGTAAGATGGGATTAAGTGTCAGCTGACAAGTGGTCACAATGGGCCCTTGACTACACAGTCCCTGAGATTACACAGGCCTCTTCACATACCCCACTACAGGCCCTGGGTCCCTCACGCTTTTCACATTGCAGGTTCTAGTCAGTCCTGTATGCTTAGGTGCCTGTTCTAGTGACACTCAGCTCAGCCAGTCCTGTCAAGATGCTGGACCCTCATGTAGAATAGGGCCTGTGTCACGTTGCTCATACCTTAACAAAGCTGTTGGGCCCACTTCCATTTTTGCCTGATTAGGCCTAAGGCCCAGCAGGCGCTGAACCTAACATTCCCGAGGTGGTGGAACACGGGAGCACAGACTTTGCCTGCTTGCTGGGTGGTGAGACCCAAGACAACACCATTCCCAAGCCTCGGCTTTCTTGTCTACACCGTGAGTTGGCATGACCTAAGTCACGCTGTCAGGCAGGTTTACTCTATAGAGAGGCTGTACCGGACTGGCGCCCTGTCCCTTCTGAACTTCACGCCCTCATCTAAGTCACACAGCTATCGCTGACTCGGCCCTGTCCCACAGTGAGTCGGCATCTTTGGAGTGGTCCTGAGGCACAGGGTTATGCTTTAGCTGTACCAGACCCTGCTGTCGAGAAGGCTGGAATCAGAGGTTGGGGCCTGAGCTGCTGAGGCATTGGGCTGGCAGGAACACCCACCCTGCAGCTTGAGAGGGCGGCTCCAGGTCCTGGGACAGCTGTAGGAGGTCCGGGTGGCTCTTCTCCACTTCCTGTAATACAGTATGCCCAGGAAGATTCCCTTTGGTCCTGAGCCTGTGCAGGATATCACCTTACACAGTCATGAGGAGATTCCCCACCAGCCCTCTCACCCTCCCAGGACCTTGGAATCATGCCTTGAGTCTTGTTCACCCCCAGTGTGAACGGGGGTGGTGGGAACTAAGGCCTGCCGAGGATGGGCAGTGCTGTGGCTCAGTATCAAGAACGAGAGGCCTAAGGACAGAGTAGGGGTAGCCACGGGGGCACCGTACCCCACCCGACAGGTTCCCCAGAGGTCACCTCCAGCACATGGTGCAGCAGCGTCACGCGACTCTGCTGGGACTTGGTCTCTGTGAGCTTCAGCAGGGTGCTAATCTTGAAACCATCCGCATCTCCCGTGTGGCTGCCCTGTGAGGGACAGGAAGTGAGGACCCCCGACTCTCAGGGTGTGGTGGGAGGTGGGCCCCAGGGGACAGCTCTGACTTACGTAGTTGAGGAAATTCCCAATTTTGAGGATCAGCTGACAGAAGACTGGCAACCTCTGGCTGGTAAGCAGGCCTGTGATGGAGGAACAGGGCTGAAGGAAGGCTTGAAGCCTCCGGGTACTCCAGGGTACCCCAGGCCCATCACAGTACCAGGAAGGAAAGGAGGCAGGGGTTATATAGGATTACGGACTCCTTCACCATCTATAGATGTAGGGACACTGGGAATACTTTCTTCAATGTCCATGTTTGCTGGACCGTCAGCTCCAGCGGGTGTCTGGCCATTACCATGAACTTTGGGTGAGGACTCTGGAATGCTACAGGAGCTTCTTCCAATATGTGGTCCCCCCAAGTTCTCACGACCCTGTTCCATGAGTGGCAGGGAGGACCCTCCCAGCTCAGCAGCTGAGACAGGAGCAGGGAGGTACCGTGCTGTGTCCGTGAGAGAAGTGAGCCTATCTGTGTCCCTGGTCTGTGGTCAAGCAGGGTTCTGTCATTCTGTGTTCACAGAAGGCAGATGTATACTTGTCAGTGTATGCACACCCATATGTATGTGTGTGTGTGTGAGAGTGGCTGTATATGGGTATATATGCATGCATGCTGTGTCTGTGGGTATGGAGTATGTGTCCTCACTCAAGTGTGCAATAAGTGAGTGTACAGGACCGTGTGTGTGTGTGTATGTGCGTGTGTGTGTGATGCGGTAGCAGCAGAGGTGACTGTGGGTTTTGGTGGCAAAGTCAGCACCTCACTAGCTCTCGGCGGCTATCATGACATGGCTCCAGTATGGGCCGACACACACGGAAGGCCTGTCCCTCCCAGACCCACAGGCTTCTGGGCCCCACTCACTCTCGCAGGCGGTGAGCACCAGCTGGGCCTTGGGCCGCACCATGTCCAGTACGATGGCCGTCCCCTCACACAGCATCATGCACTCCACCCGCAGCTGGTAGCTGACGCAGCACGGTAGGTAGGGGGTTAGAGCCTGGAGGTTCCACCATGCTTGCCACTGGGAACATGCTCTGCCCTTGGTGGGTGGGCTGAGGGAGGGTTCCCCTGGCCTGGGCTGAGAATGTATACATTTCTAGGCCTGTCCCCTGGACAGAAGTAAGGCCCAGGCAACTGTCTAGCAACCCAGGATGCTTGGAGCTTCTCAGGAAGACTCTGGCCTCAGGATATAAGAGGTCTCACCTCTGCTCTTTGAGAGAGGAGGAAGAACATGAACAACACTTACATGTCAGACTAGATGACTCATTCCCGGAGCCCTAGGGACTCTGTTCTAGAGACAGCTGCCTTCCTGACCTATTCTCCCTCACCCAAGCTTGGCTCCTGCCCTACTCTCTCCATCTTTCTTTCCTCACAGGTTAAGCAGGACCCCGGGGCTGCTGTGCTCACCAGGGGATGTCCAGGAGAAGAACGTAGAACTGGTCAGCGTTGGCCAATTTGGTTCGCTCCTCTGTGAACGCCCGTAGGTTCTCAATCTGCAGGAGGGCCACACGTAGGAACCAGTTGTCTGCCCGACCAGTATCTGCCTACCTTCAGGTTGTCGGGCAGCTCCACGGTGGCCCCGGCCTTCCGTAGGTCTCCACTGGGGTGAGGTGAGTCAGATCTTTGCTCGCTCTGTTTCCTTGGGTTGGTCAGGGACCTGGCTCACCTCGTGCTTCTCTGGAAGGAGCTTCAGGAGCTGCTTGAGGACCTCCACGTCAAACCTGCTTGTGTCTCCAGCCTGGATCATGCTGGTAACTTCTTCATTGGAACTGGAGCGGGTGAGGGCAGGGGTCAAGAAGCACGAATTTCCCCCTTCCCTGTCTCCTGCCATGCTTAGAGATGGGGGTGGCTGACGGGCACCCAAGAAGCTACTGGAGGGGGCTCTTAGATAAGGGTTTGGGAATTGGAAGGCAGGGCTGTCGTCCCTTGACTGGCCATAGCGTGTACCTAGCCTAGGAGTCTATCAATGATTTTCTGGGCATCGCTTGTACCCTGGCATGTAGAAATCTTAGGTAAGTGTCTATGGTAACTACCCACAGCCTCTGGCTCTGGGGATGCAGCATGCATGGACCTGGCCAGCCTGCAGAGGGCACTGTTGGGCAGGGCTGGGATGCTGGGCAGAGCTGACTGCTACGCTGGGGCTGAGTTTGGCAACACTATGTCCCTCACTCACCATTTAAACTGCTTCAGGAAGATGTTGAGGTTCAGGCTCTTCTTGGAGTCCAGAAAAGTGACCTAGAAACCCCCCTTTAGCTGGTATCTGGAGGGTGGGCAGAGGATGTCTCTCTCACACACACACACACACAGACACACACACGTCACACACACACACAGGAGAAGTCAGGCAGGCCGTCATAAGTCTTACTTCTTTGGGTTCCTTCCTGGCGGGGGCAGCAGAGGGCTCCTTGGGCTTGGCCGTGGGGAAGGAGAACAGCTGCTCAATGCTGGAGAAGTCGGGTTCTACTGCGGCTGTGCAGGGGCTGCTCAGTGTTGCCCACATGGAGTTGCGCTCTGAGGGGTAGGCAAGGTACTCTGCTGAAACTCAGGCTTGATGTGGGCCCGGGGAGCCAGAGGCAGCTGTGCCAAGGCCTCCGAGGACCGAAGAGGACGCCGCCTGGAGCCCAGCCTGGGTTGAATGTATCATTTACTCTCTGAGATTTTGTCAGGCTATGTACACGCCTGTGGGCACACACATCCATGCTGGTAGGTGACCAGGTCTCTCTCTGGCTTGCCTTCTCTTGGTTTCAGCACCTGACACCTAGGCCACTGTGCAGAGAACCTTAGAGAGGGAAGGGCAGGGCCTATAGCAGCAGACACCTATGACCCACAGGGCTGTGTACTGGGTAAGACTATATCCTCTGAGGTGACTTTTATTCCCATGCAAGACACAGGGGAACTAAGCCCTGATAGGGGCTGGCTGCCTTGGCTAAGCAAAGGTGGATGCATGAATGGTGGACACTCATAGAAGGAATGACCAGTATGCACCTGCCCTCTTCAGAGGCTGGGCTGGAACAGGGAGGGGCTCACCTCTTGCTACATTGGATGGCAGCTTCTGCCAGTTCAGCTTCTTCATTCGCAGGGTGGGTGGATTCACTCTGCGGTGACTGGGGACCCAGGCCGAGCCCAGGCTGTGGTCCACCTGGGCCACAATGATCTCTTCCACACCACCCGTCATGGAGGGGGCAGAGAAACCAGGCAGGGGGGGAGGAGGTGGAGGGATCTGGCCTGCTATGGGTAGTGGGGGAGGAGGAGGAACTGGGCACATGCCAGGGATTAGGGGTAGGGGTGGGGGTGGGGGCGGGGTCCTGTGGGAATCAGGAAGAGATGGAAGTGGCGGAGGTGCTGGGGGAGAAGTAGCCCCTGCACCTGGTAGGGGAGGTGGGGGTGGAGGGGGAGGTACAGTCCCTGAGCCTGGTAAAGGGGGTGGCAAGGGTGGAGGGGGAGGGGGAGATACGGTCCCTGAGCCTGGTAAAGGGGGTGGCAAAGGTGGGGGTGGAGGGGGTGCTGGGGGAGATGAGGTCCCTGATCCTGGCAGGGGAGGTGGGGGTGGAGGGAGCACAGGGGTGGAGCTGGAGAGTGGAGGGGTAGGTAGAGGTGAGGGTGCTATCCACTGCTCAAGGGCTTCTGGCTGTGGAGCTATGCCAGCGCTGGAGCTCTGGATGCTGCCCACACGGTGGCAGGAAGCAGCCACTATCGGCTGCTGGCCTTCCACTTTAGTTGTGAGAGCAGTAGTGTTCTGGGAGGAGCTGCCCTGATTCTGAACTAAGTTGGTCTGGACACTCTTGTGGGCCTTGTCCAGGGGGCTTGGTCGGGGCCGCCCTTTGATGGACAGCAGTCGCTCGACTACCTCCTCCAGGGTGCAAGCATGGGCTGCAGGAAGGAAATGTGCAGAGTCAAGGGAGATGGAAACAGCCGAAGGGTGGCCACCCACACATAGCCAAAGACCTCAGGGTCTTCACACCAGGCACGGCTCGGCCCTCCCAGCTTCTCACCATCACTGGCCAGGAGCACGGCCCGGTTCACCAGGTTTTCCAGGGCCTCCCAGAGCAGTTGGCCTGAGCGGCCAGCGGGCTCCAGGTGCATGAGACCCTGCAGCACTGACAGCAGCTGGGCCGATGCCGGCGAACAGCTCACCTGAAGTGACCAAAAGGGACAAATGGCTATCCCACCATGTGCCAGGGGCATCCCGTCCTATAGCTCCTTCATGTCACTAAAGCCCTGGTGATGACTGACTCAGTGGCGGGGTTACTGGTGGCACTGAGGCACACTATGAGACATTAAATGGCAACTCTGGACTCTACCTATTACCATCACCCCCAGATGAGATCTGCTACATTCAATAACTGAGACTGAGGGCCAGGTAGGTTCAGTCTACCGAGCCGTCCTCACCAGGCTTCAGTCGGAGCTCTCTGAAGCCCCCAGTAATGGCTACCTAGCTTCGATGGATGCAGGAAGGCACGGCCAACTTGGATAGCTTTGATCTTTGGAAGTTTGTCCCCAGACCTGCATCAGGACCGATTTCCCAGACAACCCAGCCTTATGGTACCAGTTCTATGCCGCTGCCCCGGCCATCATGGGGCTGACTCAAACAGAGGCCCTGACCTTAGATAGCCAAGTCGCCCCACCTTGTGGAACAGGGAGGCAAAGACTTCCTGGTGGCTGTTGATGTTGATTCCGTCGCTCAAACGCTGAAGCTCCTCCTCGTCCTCCACTTTGGCCTCTTCGAAGGCTTCCAGCTGAATCAGCAGATCGGCGTCCTCTAAGTCTCTAAGGAAGAAGGATAACCGGCTGAGCGGCTGACCCACTGGAATCCCTCCCCACAGATCCAGCCTGCACGCAGCCCTAGGAAGCACACTGGGCCTAGCAAGCCCAGGTTGATTGACTGTGGCCAGCCTGTGGCTCTGCAGCCTGAATGGCAGTTTGAGTGGTAATTCACGGGTCTGAGCCTCTCACCCTGCCAGGCTGCCTGGCATCTCCAGGGATGGGGTAGGGTAGATTCTCATGATGGGTACAGGATGGGGTTGGGCCTTCATGTGGAGGGGTAAAAAAAATCATGGTCAAGACCGACTTGAGACAGGCCGCGGTGACAGGCCACGGTGACAGGCCACCACAATAGGCCACCATGACAGGCCATCATGAGAGGGGATGGGCTTAGCCTGAGTCAGATGTCAGGAGCGATGCCGACATCACCTCAGCCTGTCCAATAACTGACCCCTCACCGCCCACCTGCAGACAGGTTCCTGAGCTTTCCAACTGGGCCACTTCCACAATGGTATTTCCCTGTCTGCCCTGAAGGCTGCTCATGCTGACTTCCTGGAGGTAAAGAGCCCCCAGTGGGGTCTGACCCGACCATAGTCAGGACTGGGCTCTCAATTGGACAGACTCCCTTTGGAGAGCCAGGGTCACCAGACAAATGCCAGGCTGTGCTACACCAGAGCTCCAGAGCAAGGCGAGCAGCCATCGGAAGTGTGTACTATACTACAGCCACAACATGCTGCATGTCCGAATCCGAGTTAACAGGAAGCCCTGTACTAACCTGGCCATATGGCTCTGATGGGCAATCCCTAGGAAGGGTGTCTAGCCTGAGTCCGAGGTTCACTCCTGGAAGCAACCTCTCAGCCCATCTGGAGATACTACCTGGGCCAGGTGGCTTGAACCCCAAGGAAGGACTGGGGAGGGAGCAGCTGGCAGGACAGCCACAGCAGGGACTCACCGTAGCCGGGTCAGAATATCTAGCAGCTGTAGCCCTGGGATAGATAGATGGATGGATGAATGGGGTTAGAAAATCTGGAGACTGACTACCTTTGACCTATCTCCCTCTCCAGTTCCTTGTCCCACAGGACTTTACTCTCCTTCACCCCCCTTCTCCCTCCTTTAAGACCATCATGGAGTTTTACAGTTCCAGAGGGGACAAGGTATAGATACAGGGTAGCGCTAGAATTGGAAGCAGGCCCCCTGTCTGCCCCTATGACCCACACAGCTGCAAACCAGAACTCTCAGTGCTGACACTCTATCAACCACAGGAGCTGGTGGTGGTAGGAGGCACCCAGACCCTGGAACAATGCCTTCCTCTGGAGCCCTAGGGGATGTAAAGTAGGGGAAGGACTTGGTGCAGTCCCCCATCCCCAGGGGGTATGGCACAGGCTGGGCTGGCCCAACAGACATTTTGGAGGTCTTCTAGAAGCCTGACCAGCCAGTGAGGGCACTTACCGATGAACTCACTCCGCAGCTGGGCACGCATGCGGAGGTCCTCAGGACCCAGAATGATAGCGTTGATCACACTGAGCAGGGTGACGACATAGGGCACGTTGTCACTGTCTGAGAGCTCATTCATGATGACGCTGAAGCGGTACTGCTGGCTGCACACCGTCTGCAGGTTGGGTGGGGTCAGGGTGTGCTCCAGCAGGAGATTCTGTGCTGCTGGCCCGGGTTCCCACTACGTACCTTGTAATGGTCCAGGGCATCGAGCGTCAGTGCATGGCCCTCAGGTGAATAGATGCACAGAGCAGCCAGCAGTTCAAACACCTGCTTCTTGACCATTACGTTGGAGGTGTCCAGGGCTGCGGAGGGTCAGAAACATCTCAGGAGGCCCACTGCCCTGTCCCCCCATCAGTCTTTAACACACCTGTGATCTCAATCCAGGGCTAGAGCCTAGGATGACAACTCCAGCTAAACTTCAAGGGCCAGCCTTTGCCATATTGATCTTTCCCAGGAACCTGACTTCACTACTTTCAGGAAAGGGCTTGAAGGCAGGGGCCGGTACCTGGAGCCTATAGAGCCCAGCTCAGCCCAGCCCCTGCAGGTGGCTCTAGGCTCATTTTTTCCAAACTTGACAGCAACCTCATTCCTGACAACCTGCAATGCCTCCTCATCCTGGTGAGCTCTTGCCTTCTCCATCCTGAGCTAGGGAAGTTTTAGGGGTGCTTCGCATCTGACTGTGCTGAGAATACCCACAAAGGACTTGATAGAGGGGTACAATCAGGTCCAGGCTAGGGAGACAGAATACAACTGGTGTGGACAGGTGTGGATCCAATTGGTGTGAGTCCTGGGTTAGACATATTGGCAGCCTCTGGATTCTTCTCTCACACAGAGACTATCCCACTGGTCAGTTGGACCTAGTTGCTTCCACTGAGGGACACATGAAGACCGCCTGCTTTCTACCTTAGTTTTCTTGTCACGGTTAAGGTGTTACAATAAGCTGGAAACTGCTCTTGAGGCACGCAGAGGCAGAAGCAGGAAGTGGGGTTAGGGGTGACCTACTGGGTACAGAGGGGTGGTGACCAGGGAAGGCCGGGGGAGGTATCATCAGCAGTATGGGCCAGGCCTGGAGGACTGTGGCTGAGCTGTTACAGGGCTTGGAGCCAAGCAGAGTGTATGTAGGGACCTGTTCTTTATACCAGGGCCCAGAGGCCGGAGGGTAGAGCCAGCACAGGGCTGGTGGTCATGGAACTGAGGAGACAACTAGAGTCAGCTGGTGGAAGGATTCCGGGGCCCTGGAGGCCTGAGTGGTGAGCAGTCTCCACCTTGCTCACTGGGGGAGCCCGATGAGCCCTCAGGTCCCTCTGCCCTCACACAATGGCCCACAGCTCACCCTGGGATAGCTGGCGCACATAACCCTGGTTGCTGAGGATGTATTCGATGCCCTGCTGTGAATTCATGACCGCACGCACACAGCTGATGCAGGTGAGCTGCAGCAGGGCATCCGAGATGCGGGCCACACCACGCCCTGACAGCCGTGCCAGAGCCTCCAGCAGCAGGTCCAGGCCGCTCTGCTCCAGGAACTGCACCATCCAGCCGCCATCGCTGCTCTCCAGGCGTTTGCGCAGGCCCGAGTAGTTGACCACCGAGGGCATCTGCAGCAGCCGGATGCACAACTCGGGCTCAGCACTCTCCAGGTTGGCCTCTGTGGGGTCTGAGTCCTGTGGCCCCAGCTTCTCCTTCAGCGCCGCCCATTTGCGCTGTGCGCCTTCCTTCACAGACATCTTGTCGAACTGTAGGAGCAGAAGAGGGACAGGGTCATCAGCCTGACTGAGGAAGGCCAGTGTGGGCGTAAGTCAGTTTCTCTTTTAGGTTTCTTGCTTGGGTGCCACTAATGAAAGGCTGGGACAGGTACTTTGTTCCTGACCCCAGTACAGGCTCTTCTCACTCCACCAGGATTTGAATAGCAGACAAGAAGGCCCTACCGTATGCACAAAGACCCTGAGCCCAAGGCTCAGCAAGAGGTTAGAGACCTGTGCCTGGGCATGACTGTGCTGTCCTTGTAAGCCCCAGTTCAACTAGGAGAGGCTGGGGTCAGCGAGCAGCAGGCATCCATGCTAGCCGGAATGCTAAGACATTGTGGTGGTGACACAGCAAAACCAGCCTCTCTGGGCTCCCTTTATCTGGCTCCAGGCGCTTCCCACTGGTGCTGGGAGGAGGGGGTAGTCACAGGAGAAGGCTGCGGACTAGGTACAATGAGATGCCCAGTGCTTAACAGAGTGGGTGGCGGCTTGCCCTGGTCTCAGCTTGACTGTGGTTGGGTACACCCAGAGAATAGAGTCCCTCAGCACACAGAACTTCACCTGGTTCATTAGCAACAATCCCAACTCCAACTTAGGAAATGACCCCCTGCTCCCCAGTGGAGGGAGGGGCAAGTGTGGCCTAAAACCTTCTGCAGATAATGCCTTTCCCCCAAGCATAACTGTAGACAGACAAACTGCACTCTTGCTGTCTCCTGCATCCGCACAGTTTTCCTGCCTGGGCCCGGCTGGTTGTAATGCTGCCCCATCATACCCCTGGGGACCGCTTCAAAGGTCAGGACCATCCCAGGCTCTCCTGCAACCATGTATGGCTGGGATCTTATATTTAGCATCTGAAAGGCAGTGTGGAGCCGTGGGAGGGAAATACGGAGGAAAAGAGCTTGGTGGGACAAGCTCCCATAGTCGGAGCCATCCCAAGGGCCCAGTCTTGCACTCTCCGCAGGACATGAGACAGATATTCTACCTGCTGATAGGTGAAGGACTGCAGGCAGCATGTGGGGAGGCTGGTCCTGTGCCCACATTCATATTGACGGGACCCCAGCAAGTGTTCCTGGAACCCACTGGATGCTGGGAGGTCAGTGCACATGGCTTTAGGTTCTACTCTGCTCTCTGAGGGAAGCGGAGACCCCAGGCTGAAGAGGTACCCAGTCCATAACCTGAGAGGGAGTTCAGGTACTTTGCCAGTGTGGCTCTGGGTCCTGGGTGTTGGCTGTCCTCACCGAAGACCCTGTTGTTCCGGGTGGGTGCCCCAGAGCATACCTGCCCAGCAGTACTGACAAACCTCCTGCCTGGCTTCCCCATTCCCCACCCTTTCAAAGGCCGGTGGCCAGTAGGTCTCTCTTAGAAGCAGCCCGGTGTGTAGCAGGGATTGGCCTGGAACCCCAAGTGGCAGATTTCAGCCCAGACACTCTTCATGTTTAAGCCTCAGTTTCCTTCTCTGCATCTCTGCCTCAGCTACTGGGACTGGGCTGGGGCTGTTTCTCCTGCCTGTAGTGTAGGTAAAGAGGGCTACCCAGGTAGATCAGCTTGGGTTCTGCGCTCTGCCTCACTGGGTGGGGACCCAGGGTCCTTCTCTTGATTTCTGCCTTCACCAAGTCCTAAGCCAAGCCCTTTCGGCCATCCATCCAGCCTTCTACTCACCCAGATACGCAAGACTTTACGGCCGTCTCTGCCCACCCATTCGGGCCCTTGTCTCCATCTTCTCATCCCTGCTGCCAGCCTGGTCCCTCTTGGGCAGTGTTAGACCCCCAAAGAACGTCTTGGTGGTAAATGTGGAAGCTTCACCACAGAACAGAGCTGGTTGACTGGCCTCTGCACACTCCCCAGCTTCTGAGCTGCCCAAAGAGGTGCCTCCCCACTCCAGTCTCTGCCTCTATTGGCCAGAGGCCCTGTCCCCTTGGCACAGGCCGAGTGGCCGAAGTATGAACTCAGCCAGACCTGGTTCTGGCATCCAGAGTTTTCTCTGGCCAGGAGCCCCGGTCCTTCATGCTAAACCCACTCAATCTTTCTGGGGCTACAGAATCACCAGAGCCTGAGGCCCCCTAGACACAAAAGTAGGGTACCTGCTCTCCTCACAACTGACCCTCTGGCACTGGCCAGTCCTTCTGTCCTGTGTGTACCCTGTCCCAGGACTGTGGACTCACTCCCTGATGGAATTCCGCCCCCAGCCCCACATCCCTGATGGGATTCCCCCACCCCACCCCGCCATGCCCTGCATCTGTGGAGTGGGCTCCAGATTCATGCCCACTGTCCTAGGTAACTTGTATCGGGGATGGGAGGCTATGTCCCTAAAGCCCTACTGATGGCTGTGTTCACCCGTGAGAGCCAGCCTGCCTGGAAACCAAGATGCTGAAGTGAGGAACACTTTCCTTCCTCTGTGGTATGTGCCAGCTGCCTCTCTGTAGGATGACACTGAGTGTGGACAGGTGATGGTGGCTAGCCCTGAGACAGCACCCAGTCATTCCACAGTCCAATGTTAGCCAGGAAGACCAACAGCTGGGACCTGATCAATAATCAATGGAAGACTGAACTCCCTGTGGCCATGGTTCCAACTCAGAACCATCCAGAGAAAAGCAAATCTCCTAAATGACAGTCCCATTTCTTGTTGGCCTCCATGAGGCCTTCCCTTTCTCTCCCCTATAGAAACTATGACACTTTCCCTCTCCTGCCTGCTTTCAAACCTCTGACAGAGCTGAGGTGGAAATCTCAGAAATCTTTGGGGGACTGTACCCAGGAAGATACTAGTGCCAAACAAGGCTGGGGCCTCTCTCTCGGACTCTCTCTCTCGGTCGGTCTC